GAGTAGCCTTACGTAGAGGCTGATGTAGTGGTGGCTTGGTGCTTCGAGGACCAGAATACAAGAGTATCTCTGAAGAATACACAATAACTAAAGTGGACCTTTGTGTATCAGGACATCGTGCCCAATCTGCATCTAAATAGACCCGCAAAGAATCTGTGGATGATTTGGTAAGAGTAATTCCGTTTGAGATTGTCCCATGAAGATATTGAAGTACCAGTTTTAAGATCGCCACATGGGGAACTCGTGGATCATGAAGATGTAGACAGAGTTGTTGCACAACATATGTAAGATCCACTAGTACAAAAATGACCAAATAAATCGCCTCATTTGCATCGTTAAGCTAAACAAACGATGTAAATGCAAAAAAAATTCGCGTATCGCTTAGCTTTTGGATCGGTTATCCGTAATAACCGATGCAAAAGGTATTTGAATCGGTTATCTGAAAATAATAAAATCTAAATATTCTATTAGATATTAATTTGTATTTTTCAAAAATGATCTTAATCTAATAACGTAAATATGACCCGTGCAACGCACGAGTGTAATACTAGTTACATTAATTTATCACATATGCATCTTTTTTAATGTTATTGACTCTATTATATATGCATCTTTATGAGCTATATAATATATATTTCAAAATGTTAGACTTATTTTATTTCACCCTTCATCCTAACACTAACTTCTCAATTTACGAGATTTGACCGAAATTATTTTTAATTCAATTTGTTTGATTAAGTGTAAAATTTAAAAATAAAATTTATATATTTAAAACTACATCAAAACCTCTACAAAACTAAAGCTGACATAATTATAATATTTTATCAAATAAAAATTAAAATTAAAATGTTCAAAATTTAGAATCTATACGAGCTCATGCGAAGCACGGGATTAATACTAGTGTGTGTTTCTGTGTATATGCGGAGCGAACCTATTCTAGAATCCTACATAAATAAGAGGTAGCTATGACGGATAATTATGTACATAAATAACTATAGCTACACAAGGTAATTACCATAAATATAAAATAAGAGTGATGGTAGTCCCTTTGTGAAGATGTCCGTGTATTGTGATTTGTGAGGATGACAAGACGAGAGAACAAGTCCCAAGGCAACTCCACTCCACCAGGGCTTCACATAAGATAACTTATATGAATAATAAACTTTCGTGCCTGTGGTTTGTTTGTGTTTTAAAATTTTAGTTTATCTTCAATTGTTTTAGGTTGTAGCTAGTTTATTGAGCTAAAATTTATTTTATAAATGGATTGTGGATTGAAGTTCTTAAATGAAATTGATAACTCAATTCTTCCAAAAAATAATAGGGAGTAGTATTGTTGATTGTGGGTAAACTATTTTATTTTCATGATTCTTTTTTGCCTAAAAATAAAAGATAGAATCTGAAGTAGAAACTTTTAAGAGCTTATAATTATTTTGGTCTCTCAATAGTTTTTTTGGGTTTACTCATTTTTGGTGACTATTTGATAAAATAAAATTTCTTGTCTCACATTATTTTGTAGAATTTTTTATTTACTTTTCAATAGTGTAATTTAAACTTTTAATTTTTCTACCAATTTATAAATAAAATGATTGTAAATAAGATGACATATTACATGTTGTTCAAAATATGGTGAACATTTTGAAACGGAGGGAGTAGAAACTAATTATAAAATGCACATTTTTCACAGATTAAATAGTTTTATTTTACTCCCTCCGTCCCAAATTATTTGTCACATTTGCTTTTTCAACAGTCGTGGGAACTTTTGTTTATTTCTACATTTTCATTGCTTATTTAATAAAATTAAATACTCTTGACACCTCTTATTTCGAAAAACTTTTCATGTAGTTTTTTTATATGTAATTTTTTTATTTCTTTACCAATATGTAAATAAAATGAATTGAAAAAACTTGATATTTTGCCTCGGTAATAGAAATGTGACAAATAATTTGGGAAAGAGGGAGTAATTTGTTTTACTTCCATTGTATGTGTGTTGGTCATAGGTGCCCCCGGTGAATTCTTTTTCTGGATCCGCCATTGTCACAGAAGACGAGAGTAGCCTTACGTAGAGGCTGATGTAGTGGTGGCTTGGTGCTTCGAGGACCAGAATACAAGAGTATCTCTGAAGAATACACAATAACTAAAGTGGACCTTTGTGTATCAGGACATCGTGCCCAATCTGCATCTAAATAGACCCGCAAAGAATCTGTGGATGATTTGGTAAGAGTAATTCCGTTTGAGATTGTCCCATGAAGATATTGAAGTACCAGTTTTAAGATCGCCACATGGGGAACTCGTGGATCATGAAGATGTAGACAGAGTTGTTGCACAACATATGTAAGATCCACTAGTACAAAAATGACCAAATAAATCGCCTCATTTGCATCGTTAAGCTAAACAAACGATGTAAATGCAAAAAAAATTCGCGTATCGCTTAGCTTTTGGATCGGTTATCCGTAATAACCGATGCAAAAGGTATTTGAATCGGTTATCTGAAAATAATAAAATCTAAATATTCTATTAGATATTAATTTGTATTTTTCAAAAATGATCTTAATCTAATAACGTAAATATGACCCGTGCAACGCACGAGTGTAATACTAGTTACATTAATTTATCACATATGCATCTTTTTTAATGTTATTGACTCTATTATATATGCATCTTTATGAGCTATATAATATATATTTCAAAATGTTAGACTTATTTTATTTCACCCTTCATCCTAACACTAACTTCTCAATTTACGAGATTTGACCGAAATTATTTTTAATTCAATTTGTTTGATTAAGTGTAAAATTTAAAAATAAAATTTATATATTTAAAACTACATCAAAACCTCTACAAAACTAAAGCTGACATAATTATAATATTTTATCAAATAAAAATTAAAATTAAAATGTTCAAAATTTAGAATCTATACGAGCTCATGCGAAGCACGGGATTAATACTAGTGTGTGTTTCTGTGTATATGCGGAGCGAACCTATTCTAGAATCCTACATAAATAAGAGGTAGCTATGACGGATAATTATGTACATAAATAACTATAGCTACACAAGGTAATTACCATAAATATAAAATAAGAGTGATGGTAGTCCCTTTGTGAAGATGTCCGTGTATTGTGATTTGTGAGGATGACAAGACGAGAGAACAAGTCCCAAGGCAACTCCACTCCACCAGGGCTTCACATAAGATAACTTATATGAATAATAAACTTTCGTGCCTGTGGTTTGTTTGTGTTTTAAAATTTTAGTTTATCTTCAATTGTTTTAGGTTGTAGCTAGTTTATTGAGCTAAAATTTATTTTATAAATGGATTGTGGATTGAAGTTCTTAAATGAAATTGATAACTCAATTCTTCCAAAAAATAATACGGAGTAGTATTGTTGATTGTGGGTAAACTATT